AGATGCCATCTAGCTCAGAGGAAGGTCTTGCATATTGTGCCAGAAAACCAACTCCATATTTCGTTTTATGAAGATGCTTTTTGAATCAGTTGAGACGGTAAGCAAGCCTATTTCTAAACAACATGAAAAAAGATGCACTATTTTCTGGAAGAGATCACTAACATATCTGAAGAAAGTCTGAATGCATAAAGTACACTAGTAATAGGATTGCAGAAATTATTTATTTCATGCAAACAACCTTCTATTCTGCTAGACAGTCATATATACAATTCAAAAAATATATCCAGAACATCAATAATTTAATAATGCTACACAGAAAAAAAAAAAAATCAATTCAGTAAGTGTCAGAGCAAGGTATTATGTACTGCCATACCTGTATCATAAGGCAAAAGCAGCTAGTCTATCCATAAGCAACACTCCTACAGACTATTCTTGATGCACATTTGAAAGGGGAATAAAGTCTTGTCTTACTAAAATTGTATAAACAAAAGTAATTCCATTACCTCCCACATACTTCACTGAGAAATGAAATTGTTACATTCAGAATCTTTGAGGAAAAAAAGACAGATACCAACTACTACACTTTCTATGAGCATGACATGGTCCCAAAATAATGATCCAAGTAGTCACTACTTACATGTTATAAAGATGTTAAAACAGACACATTAAAGTGACGAGGACACGTCTTAGTACATTTTCTAAAAGTTTAACACTATCAAATGTTGTGTACCTTGCTTTGATTGACACAAAATGAGACTAAACATAATACAGCATAATTAGTGTTAACAGTTCATATATACATATTAGTAGTTATTTAAGTGGAACAGGGGCTCTGGTACAAATTTTTTTTGGGTGGGGGGAGGGGAGGCTGTAGAGAAAGGGGGCTGTGAATTGTTGGTTCATATTAAGATGATGAAGAAATGTAGGAGTGTTTCAACCTCAGACTAGTCTAATTGGCTGGAAGCACATGTAGTACTGGCACAATACTGCTGCAGAGCAGTATGTATTCCCACAGAGCGCATTAGAGAAAGGGAAATTTAAAAATCTCAGAAGTCTTACAAATTGTCTTTCTAAATTATTCTGTAAAGATTAATGACTCTTGCATTAAAGAAACTTTAAAAACCTAGAAGACAGTATACAGCATCAAAGCTAGTGTTTTTGTTAATTGTTAGGATATATACACTTGATTTACTCATTACAAAGAATTCTTTCATAAGCCATTATTCTGTAAAATATTTTAAATGTACCTCCATCTCAAGTAATTAACAGTAATGGTGAAAATTAGAACATTAACTGTGTACTTCCCCCCTCACATAACACTTACAGCATTCCAAGTTTAATCAATTAAAAATACACGTTACCATAATTACAGAATAATGAAATCACATTTTTTTGAGCTTCAAACGTACAAATAGTCATTGGGGCTCTGTGGTATAACAAACATAGGTGGTGGTGGAAGGCTGGGGGCTTGGAGGGGCTGATCCCCCCTCAAACTAATTTTGCAGAGGCCGGCGACAGCAGCAGCACAATGGTGCTGCTCAGCGTGCAGCCAGGCGAGCCACGCACGCTCAGCTCCGCACAGCTGAGGAAAAGGAGGCTAACTGCACATGTTGCACAGCGCAGAGCACAATGGGAGCTGTAGTTCTCATGCTGACATATGCACTCAGCCCCCCCAATAATATTTTCTCTCTCCATCTATGATAGCAAGAATATAAATATTGATGAAGATAGCAGTTTTTTCTCATTTCTAATAATACTGTAATCATAACTAATTAGTTAACAAGAATATTATTTGATCAGCAAGAAATGCAGAACAGTTAAAGGATTCTGCAATCATGAAACTAACAGCAGTGAAAAATTCTGTTGAGAAGGTTCTTCATTAGTACTTGAAACCTGTACATAAGTGATAAAACATGCTGTATTCCTCTCTACACATTTACTACAGCAGTACACAATTTAAAAAAAAGGTTCATTATTTCCCTCAAAAGTTTAAGTTTCTCTTCCTCTGAATGCTTCAAGATGGACCAAATTTCAGTAAGGTGCCCAGAATGTACTTCAAAATGCAGTTTTTCTATACATCTAAATGCCTGACAATACAGAATTACAAATCTAACAGAAACAGCAAGTTTAAAAATAGACCAACATCAACGCTGGATTCTTTGTGCAGCTAAATTTTGCATTCCGATTTTTCAGAGCTTACTCAGACTTTGCATGTATTACAACCCCTGACATGAAAGCTTCCCAATCTGTATTTAGCTTGCTATATTTGGAAAATGTCACGACAGAGGAAAGTGTGACAAACAGGGTAAGAAATAGGAAGGATACACCTCACATGGAGTTTAACTGAATTGAATACAGTGAAGTTTTAAGAAAAATATAAATTTACATGTTTCATTTTCATATAAATATGATGACATACTGGCAGCATAAATATATATTATTTTTCAGCCTCCAAAACCATAGTGCAGTTTACAAGGTAATTATTTTTTTAATGTTTTTAGGTGCACCACATAAACAAGCACGAGTGTATGGATGAGTACTAAGCACAAGAACTTATTTGGGGAGCCTTTCTATGTTACAATTACAGCAATGATGACAGTTCAGTTATGACAGCTTAAAACTAACTTGCTGTTGCAGCTGTACACTGCTAACATCAGCGCACAGAACTCAGCATGAACTACAAAACTGGCCTGAGAAACGAGGAAGATATTCAAGGCATTAGCCATAATTTCTGTACTACTGTACCTTCACCATGACTAGTACCCATGTCTGCTCTTTAAAGCTAGCATAAGCTGCAGTACAGCAGTGTCTGTGGTGCAAATACATTTTAATGAACTCACCTAGTTGTGCTTTCTATCAAATTCCATCATCTGTGGTGTTCCATTACAGTCCAAATTCTGAATATAAATTAAGTATCATTTGATATTTAATCAGGATTACAAGCTCGTGGTGAAATCCTGGCCCCATTCTAGTCTATGAGAATTTTTCCACTGACTTCTCTAGAGCCAAGATCTCATTCCATTTACCTCGATAACGCCTGAAATCTGGGAACTAAAAACCACTTCAATACAACCACCATCCTCTTAAGCTCTTATTTTAGGGGTCAATAAACAAAATGAAAAGTTTTACTCTTATGCTTGATAGAAAACCACTAATTTGTTCATGGTACCATACCCTGCTAAAGCCTAAACATTCCTGCCTCAGTTAAGGGCTAAATTTCCACATCTGTATTTGTGTTAGTCACTGGAATCTGATTAGTGTTAATTTATACAAATAGCTTTGCTAAATGCTTTGAAAAATGTCACTAGGAAGTCCAGACACAGGGCTAGCTAGTTTTTCTATACAAGCATTTCATTGTATTTCCTATGAAATCACTAGCAAATATTCAGTCTACTTCCATGAAAGCCAAAGCAGGCTCAAGCTCCATTAACTATGCTGAAATTTGACATCTGGATCAGAACATTCATGAGCAACCAGAATAAAGTGCTTCCCTTCATCATCACCAATTAATAGCAAAAGAGAAACTTCTTCTTTCAAATGCAATTTACAAAGCATTGCTGAAGGACTTGTGCTTTTTGCCCTTTTTATGAAGTTTTATTTTTAAACTTCAGGCATCTAGATTAATAAAATCCCAGGGTTTTTCTTTTAAGAAAAGAGGGAAATCCAAATTTAGTCACTCATAGCTCTGCTGAAATATTTCTTGGGTTTTAAGCATGTACATTGTGAGTAGTCCTACCTTAACTGGAAGAGAGGTATAAGTAGAATGTATTACAGATTGTACATCTCAAATATATTTACTGAGTTAAATAATTACTAATATCTCAGTATGCAGGTCTCAATAAAATCTACCTCCTCAGTTGCTTAGCTTCCAGTTTGTGGTGCTGTCATCAAATGCTCCAGTCACCACAGTCTTCCAGGGTACACATGATCTGGATTTCAAACGTATGCCATACACACCACAAACAGGAACTCCTCTACTTACCAGGGTATGTCTATCAGGCACAAGGCAATGCCATGCAGAGGCATCCCATGCTAGCTCTGGAACCAGCACAGCACACCCACCTTGTGCAATGCAGCAAAGCAGCTCCGCTGAGACGTTGGGCTTATTAGCCCAGGACAGCATTGCATTAATGTAGCTGTCTTGCTTCTAGGTTCCACTGTTAGGGTGTTTATAGACATGCTCTGGGAGGTGGGGGGGGGGTGCTTTAATTAGCACAGCTCCAAAAGCTTCACATGTATCAGTGCCCCCACACTAAAAAATTGCAGCAGGGTGCTTTGAACTAAAGCTAAAAAAAGCTCTAAAACACCACACCGCCATTCTTCAGCGCAGGGGCGCTGATGCACGTGATGCTGGAGTCTGCCGAAGCACAGTAACTACTATATTCCAGCAGACTTGATTAATTGTGTCTGCTCCCTGCACATGTATAGGAGCCCTTTGTGTCTAGTATCTTTATATAACACTGTATTGCACCATACAGGTACTCAACAATGACCTTTGAAACAAAGTCCTCTGAGAAGTGGTCCAGAAATAACACACTTAAATCACTGCAAATGTCTCCTAATTTCAGTTGGAATGGCACACTTATCTGAGATCAGGATTCTGAATTAAAACCATGCATTGTTCAAGTGTTCAAGAGAAAAAAATGACATCTTCTATTTTGGTTTTCAACACTGCTGTGCAGTAAGTGCACATGAGGAAAAAAAAACTAGCGTGGTAAAAATGTCAATTAACCCCCTGCCCTCCCCCCCCCAAAAAAATTAAGTGCGACTTAAAATTACAAACAAAGCAAAATTAAATTGTTATCTCCCTCCCCCCTCCCCACAAACAGTAACACTACTATACCTTTTACCTTATACTTTAAAATTCATTCAACCAACTATGGTTTTAAAATATTCCTGCCTACACCAACTATTAAATTTAAGCATTTTTACACTGTTTCTGGTTGGCAGCTTTTTGAATGACAATTGAATGAACAAGTTTTTTTATTTCTTTTTGCAGACAGACAGACAGACTACTTACTGTAAAACACAGGCACCTCAAAGGACAGATACCTTATACAAGGCAGTAGAGTTGGGATGTCAAAAATATTTACCAATAACTAGTCACACTACATTGTTCACTTATTTCAAAGTGAAGCTTCAGTGTTTTAAACTGTACTATAAATAAGTGCAAAATTGTAACATTTAAAATTTTATTCAAATTTCACATTAAATATGTTTATACCTACAAGACCAATGTGCCAAGATTTTCATCTTACTACTGTAAACAAAATATCTCAAACAGCCACCATACCCGGAGGATGCATTCCTGCTATTGCACACATGCTTATATGACAGTGATAATGAAAGTACCTGTCTATATTGAATCTGAATTATTTACATATGCCGATGCCATCTGCAGGTAGTGTTGAAAGAGGAAAAAAAATGTCTAAGTCCTATGACTGATATACAAGCCCCTTCACATCTTATGCTACTGTGTTTTGTACAAAATTACCATTCAATCTCTCACACTCATAAAAGGCCTAATTCAAAGGACATTGAAGTCAATAGCAGATTTCTCATTGATTTCAGTGGACCTTGGATGAGGCTTAATGTTCAAACAGACAGCTGTTCCAGGGTATTTACTACAGTAATTGATATAACTGCACTTAGGATGCATTAGATTTCTCTCAGAGTATCTCATCAATTCCTTATTTCAAGAAAGGAAAAATTAGCAGTAAAATTTGACATAAAAGTGTAAATCGAGCCCTATTTGTACATATAAAATGTAGTCTACTCTATCACTTAAGAGAAATTGATTTCTGTCATCCTAGTTATGGCAGGGGAGAAAAACAACCTACCACACAGATGTGTAATACCTGTTAACAGGAGAAGCATATTCTTGTTCATTGTAGACTGGTAAAGTTATTCAAGGTGGATTATAAAATGTTTGTTTGTTCCTTCATTCTTCCCTTATTTGTTGAAAGGAGAGGGCATTTTTGGTTCAAAGATATGGTACAATTACAGTATTTTTCAAATAATGAATGAGAGACTTATTTCCATTAAGTTTTCTGAAGCACTATTGGATTTAGACGTCATCAAATATTCTACTTCGTGACATTGACAAATACCTTCCACCAGGTTGATACCTGAAAGACAAACATTAAGAAACTGTTTGTAAAAAGTCACAGACATGGAATAAAAGCCCCCAAGTCTCCTGTGGAGTCATGTCTCCTGTGGGGGAGAGTGGGGGAAACAGAAGTTTATTCTGCCTCTGTCTTGAAACAGAAAATATTTTTCACAACATAACAAGTTTTAGATGATAATTTTTTACCTTGAAGGACTCAACTTTTAAAAATAAAGACCTTATATAATGGATAAAACAGACTTTAATTACAGTATTTGACATGCCAGTAAGCCACTGAATACTATGTATAGAATTAGCTATCTGAAACTCAAATTGTTCAATCTTGCTGCATTTAGAGTAATGTGATAATGTAATTTTGTTTGCCTCCGAGTTGCAAACAGGTAATACAAACGTACACGTATATAAATCATGCATAAAATCCTGACCCTAATGAAATTAATGAGTATTTTGCATTGACTTCACAATAGTGGCAGGGCCATACTGAAAGTGCAACTGTTGGCTCATATAAATTCAGTGCGACTAAGCAAAGAAAAATATATAGATACTGTATATTACTTTTTCTTATATTTTCTGATACACTTAATGACTGTTCTTTGCATCAGTACAAGAGTTGTAGGTGAGGAATAATTTGAAGCATTACTAGAGAGCTAAAAACCAACCAATCATTAAGTGCAAGTGCCAGTGTATATTATAGGATTTCACACTCTTTGGCTCCTTCACCTGTCTCTATGGGAGATATTTCTCACATGTAAACTCCGTACGAAGACATACATGTCTAAACTATTAACTGAAATAAATTAATTAGACCCATTAGACTTTTGGGAGATTGAGGGGGAAACCAGAAGCATTACGTTTCAGGAGATTTCAAACACTGCCCTAGTGATCTTAAGAACTACAAATGCTAAGCAAAAACCTGAATTCTCTCATGGAGCAAATATTTTTGGAAAAGTACAAATATTTTACACGGGGCTCTGCCATACATTCAAATTAAAGCTGGATAGAGACCAGCTATAAAGTTGTTATACATTTTCAAGCACTAACTTTATAGCTGGTTGACCCTTTTTATAGTTGGATGAACATTTTATGGTGTGATAATTACTTTGCACTTGTGGCCAGTCTCAATTTATTGTGCAATTAACTAGTTAACTGCATAATATATGCAATGTATGGCAGGTGCCTTAGACAAGATATTAAACTTCCTTACCTTCCTGAGTCTGATTCAAGAGGATCATCAGTAATAGTATCTGCATTAAAATCCAAAGGTTCTGCATCTTGGAGAAGTTCTATTCTATCCCTCTCAGTCTTGCCATTTGACCTGGTGTATTTAGACAGTGCTGGATGTTTTAAAAAAAACACAAAACAAAAAAACAACACTTTGTTTGTAAAATGTGTAAAATTACAGAATAAAACATAATTCTCTCTCCTGATGTCACCCAAAGAAAACCCCCTAATTTTGACTACATTCAATTTGTGATGACAATCATAACTGGATGCTCAGATTTCCAGCTACTATTTGAGAACCCCTGAAATTTTTCAAAATGGGCAAAAGCCTCAATTTCCACCAAATTTTATCACAGACTCTTTTCAGTGGGATTATTTCCATGAAGAGTTGAACTATAACAGGAATGCTCACGATTAGAAAATATAGTCTTCCTATTTTTCAAGGAGAGTAACTAAACAGTAAGTTAAAAACTAGTGTTTCTTAAAAACAAACCAAATAAAAACGTGTACCTCTGAACAAAGGATGGGTGTCTATGTATGCAGAAATAATAATTTATTTGTTTGTTAAGAAAAGGTACCAGTGAATGAAAACAATACAATTTAATCATACAGGTCTTAATCAGAGCTGCTGGTGTAGCTTTTGTCATAACTTGCAAGGCTCCATACGGTTTGTGCAAGACTGAAGTCACATTGGATATTCAGTCATACAACATATAACCTGTAACACTTATTTTAACATGTGTACCATGGAAGTCACAAGTAAATTATAGGTGAAATATACTTTCTAAATTGGACATTTCAGGCCTAGTCAGTTGTACCAGTTAACTGATGTTCAGTTGCATTTTCTGGACTTGTGCATTTGCACAAGACCATTCATGCCCTGCTTTTGAGAACTATTGGGAAAATATGAAAAATATACAAAAATTCAAATGTAAAAACATATTGCCTACTTTAAGAGTCTGACCAACATCTTACTGTTTTCACCTAGGAAACAAACAAGAGGATGTAGCATACACTAGATTCCTACAGATTATGAAAACTAGAAATGTATACATTAGTTTGTTTATTCGACATGCTAAATATGCATTAAACTGAATTGCTGTGACAGCTTATTTGGAAGATTACCTTCACAACATGGATGACCAGAGGTTTTAAAACATTAAATTCTGTATATTTCAAAATCCCCAGAACAGTCAACAACCTTCATTTTTAGGTTGAAGCTGCTGGTATAGGTTCAAGGGCTACATATCCCAGTGTCCAAGAACAATCTAAAAGTCTCAGAACACCCCCCACAGGCCAGACAGGAGGGTCAGACTGCCATGTCCTGCAGACTTACCGCTGTTCCCATAGTAAACAGAAGGGCCCTTTGTCTAATCCACCATAGCAGCTAGACAGCAAGCAGCAAACCGTTATTTATCCAGGTGGTACTGTGCCAATGAAAGGTGTTTTGGGGTTTTTTGTTTTTAAATGTACATGACTTACGTCTATTTGTGCTGGGCTCTGAGAAACTAGATTCTTTTTGATCTGTGTGAACATTTCTGTTTCTGGTAGAATCTTCTCTATTTCCATATCGTTCTTTCCATTCCTGACAAAGAAAATATACTAATTTGAACCACATGAATAATCACACATAAATAGTCACCTTAAATCATTACCTGGAATGAATCAAGTCTCTAGATCTATAAACTTCGGTTATTCACCCTCCAATAACTATAAAAACATATTACACATTCATCCCGTGAGATTCTGTGCCTTGCTGCACCAGAAATATTAAATCAAGATAAGCCTCTTGATTTTCAAAAATGTCTCACTAAAAATGTGCTTCAATAGTGGTCTTTTTCTGAAGTAAGAACCATCATGTATGTTAACTACATATTAACTATCCAGTCAAAGTGCACTAAACCACTGTGCTATATAAAGATGAGGCAAGGACTTCTTTGATTGGTATCCACAGTATAGCTGGCAAAGCTGTGCTTGGCTTGTTCTGGTCAGACCTGAAGAAGAATGTCTTGCATTCAAAAGCTTGAATAACTCTAGCCCAAGTACCCAGTGGGTCCAATAAAAATATCACTTTAAGAAATCTCTGCCTCACATAATTTCTGGACTATCAGTTACAGCATCACTTGTGTACACACTACAGAGATGAGGAGAAAAATTAGCTTTTGGTTGGTCTCCATCTGCTGGTAGGATACTATATCCACAGCTCAGGCTAGCATATTAAAACTTTGGCTGAAAGTAAACTATACAGTATCCCTGGTGCATTCCATTGTGGCACTATGTATTGTGATGTACAGTCAAATTTCTGCTCCCTAGATATAAGGGAAGCCAGAGCCACTTGTTACTTTTCTGAGTCAAATCAAATTCCTGTTACAATCTGTGCGAAATACTTCTTGTAAAAAAACACACACACAAAACTTATCAGTGGAAAAACAACTGGCCTAACTCCAGCAGAGTCATTATACCAATTTATGCCCACTGAGTATCATCTGTTCTAGGTTACAGAAGATTTTTGTGGCCAATTACAATTTTAGGACTGTTGAGAATAGCTTGGAAAGGATGAAATTGGTTATGACCAATTCTTTTTGTATCTGTAAAGTGTAGGATATGCATGTAGAAAATAACCTTTCAAAATTAAGTCAATGCAGATTTTCAATAAACCAGATGCACTGCAACACCCACTCTATATACTGTTGCCTGGTACTGCAGCTTTGATTCCTTGTAGAACTGCATTATGCGTTCAAGGACATACACAAGCTGCAAAACATTCTATCAATTTCTTTAGGAAAATAAATAAAAAGCAAGTCATGAAGATTGATGGAGAACCAAGTGACAGACGTTCATTTCTACCTTCAGAAATTCTTACTGGTAGAAGAATTGCCCAGGAGCTAGAATGTCCATACATTCCAGCTCCATGGCTGGGGAGCTCCATAGGCAAACTATAACCAGGCAGCACAAAAGGGCCCATGTCTGGGGGCAGAGTGTAAAGAGCCAGTTCTTTTTTCATCAAAAATAGGTCTTGACTGTACAGCTGTTGGTCCTGTAAGAAAGGTTTCTCTCCTGGCACAAATGTCCGAACTGAATATTTAGTTACTGGAAGTGGGGGGTGAAGATGGACAAGAACAGCAAGCATGACTTAAGTGCTCATACTTGAAATCCCTCTACTAATAAACAAACTAACAAAACCTTAAATGTTTTTTTAAAAAAAAAAAATTGGATCCATTTAAAATGGTTAGAGCAAACCACTCCAGAACATGCTCTACCATGATTGCTGCGGCATTTCTTGGAAGGCAATTAAGGCAGGTTTAAAGCCCACCAGTCAGATGAGGGAAATTCCCATATCCTAGTTGAGTTGCCTAAAAGGAGGAAGAAACCAACTATATGACCTGTTCTTCTTTGATAATCTAGTCCTGTAAAGTCTTTTACAAACAGAAAAAGTTAAATCTGGAAATTTGGATTGAATTTATTCATAGTCTGGGGATACCCAAACCCGTGGTTTTTGATTAAAAAAATATTTGCCAAAAAAAAAAAAAAAAAAAAAAAAAAAGCTTGCCTATTCCCTACTTACAGAAAGTTGTTCTAGTGGAAACTTCTAATACATTACAAAAAAAATGAGTACAATACTTTCAAAAATAAATCTCATACCCTTCTTCTGTTTTCTCCTTCTTCTTGCCGTTGCCGTTTTCTTTTCTCTAGAAAAAAGAAAATAAAACATTTTATTTAACTACAGAGCAATAAATATCAACAGTGATATGAATATTAAAGCAACACAGATTTTACGTTTAAGGAACTGGAATAAAATGCTACTGACACTTCTAAAGTGATTAAAGGAAAACAGAACACTTTTCAGTAATAATTGCTCAATAATTTTCCTGGGACAAAGTTTAAAATCAGCAGTTTATCCATATCGATAAGCTTAGCTGGAGCTCATATCAAATGGATAATAATGTAGAATATATATGAAAACAAGGAACATAATTCTGAGTATTAAGAGATTGGACAGAAAAAGGAGTATTACTCCTAATATTTAGAAGTTTAGACTGAGGATCCCTGACAGAGAAACTGCAACACTAGCAAACAAACAAGCAACTAAAAAATACATAAGCCTCAAAGATGTTGCAGTCCTAAAATCAAACCAAATAGAAGATACCACTAGATAGCTTTGTAAAATGTAAAGATACAACTTCAATCTGGTATCCTTTCAAAACGGATCTTCTGCAAACCCATGATGGTTAAAACTGCTTAACAAGAGAGTAGGAAAATGTTTCTTTCAAAGAAAACTTCATTCAGAACAAGCAACTTCACCTTAGATGTCTAGAGTCCTTACATAATGTATGTAATGAAAAAAATAGGTTATTAGCCATATTAGTAAGAAGAAGTCGGGCAGAAGGCAGGGTAGAGCTTCACCTTATAGATTAACCGAATCAGAGATGCATAATCTTTCATGAGCAAGAGCTCACTTCATGCCATTTAATGAAGTGAGATCTTGCTCACAGAAGCTTATGCTCTGATTCAGTTATTAGAAAAGAATTACTACACATTGCCATAGCATGTTTCACATAAGAACCTCAATTAGTTCCACTTTTATGATTTAGTTAAGACTGAAGATCTCAAAGGGATACCACACAACAATAACTTCATCTATTAATGAAAAACAGGTTTGAAATAATTACCTAAGCAACACTCAATAATGATACACAGCTCCAAGTATCAGTAAATAAAAAATACAATATTCAGTTGAAACTGCAAGTAAAGTTAAGGGAGAAATTTAATTTGAGTGTCAAGAATTAGGACAGAACAGCTAGGCTATTATTCTTACTCCTATGAAAAAGCAAAATTTAGTTTTTATTGAAAGATAGAGATGTTAACTATCCTATGTGAAAGATCATAATACTACAAGCATACTAGCTAGCCACTATGGGAGGGCAATAATTCCGTACCAATGAATCAAACACACTGGTTCTTGTATAACCCAAGATTTCTTTAGGTCTCCCCTTCAAGCTGCTTACAAGACAGATTTGAAAAGCAGTATAACTATAGGTAAGGTTATATAAACAATGTTAAGATTTTGAAGCGAAGTACGGAAAAGCCATAAGCTACGTTGTTATACAACCTTCACCCCTGTTGCTATACAACTGCATTTTAGACACTTATAGTGCTCCTATCACTTCTGGCAAGCAATGCAAGATAACAGTCTTACCTCTTCTGATTAATTCTTTTCCTTCATCAATTAAGTCAGAAGTCATTTCACTGTCTCCCATGAACTGCTGGAATCCCAGAAGATTCAGACAGCGAGTTCCTAAACTGGGAGAAAGAAGAGGATCTCTCTTTTAATTCAGAACAGGGTTTGGCAATTTCCTTTCTAGTTGGGATCATCAATATGCATTAAGGATCAGAGAATTTTACATTTACAGCACTTGTACATTTCCACAAAGTGAGAACTCAGAACACAAAACAGGTACATCTATCTATTCCAGGAACAATGCACGAATTAGGCTATAAAAGCCTTGTAAATTACATTAAATCAGAAATGTGCATTAAAATGAAAGCAAGTTTATATGAGAAGTGTTCCCTTTTACTAGGATTATACTATATTTACACAAATCTAAGATGACCCCCCAATAATTAGATTATGTATATGGAAAATGTATACATTTGTTCTAATTTTCCAGGTATATAATCTAATTATCAGAAAACTGTTTTAAGTTCATCCCTCCCCACTACTACAGCAGGGAAAACAGTGTCTGTCCCCCCACCATTCCCTCCCTCATAGCTTTTCTGCCCTCCCACACCCAGCTGCCCACAGTCTCTTCTCCCTTCCCCACCCCCAGACTCTGCCTCTTCTGCCCCTGATCCCCAAAACCTTTGCCTCCTCCCTCTTACTGTCAGATGCTGCTCAGGCTCTATTCCCTCCTGGGTCACAGAGCGCAGCATGAGCCATGCCACACAGTAGTGTTAAAGCCACTGCTTGCCTGGACAGGGGACAGAGTTTCCATGTAGCCTGGGCCCAGGAGGGAATCCAGCATAAGCTGGAGCCAAGCTGCACTTGACAGTGAAGTGGGTACGCAGGGGGCAGGGGAGGAGAATGGGGCCAGAAGCTGCAGAGACCAAATGGGCGTGTTAGGGATGGGAGAAATGGGTGCTGTGGGTATGATTCTGGCCCCAACCAGGCTCAGGGCCAGAGCCAGAGATGCAGAAGCTCCCTGCCTCCTCCCCTCCCACTTTGTATGCAAATCTAGGACTAGGGGCTTCCCTCCCACCCATGCTGACTGGGGGGTGGGGAAGGGGGCAGACCTCAACTTAGATTCAAATAAATACAACATACAAAACTCTTAAAACAGAGTAAGGTCCTTACAGTTATAGCATGATTAGGGGGCAGCAGGGCAGGCCCTATGAGGAGAGGCTACGGGACCTGAACCTGTTCAGCCTCCATAAGAGAAGGCTGAGGGGGGATCTAGTGGCCTGTTACAAACTGGTCAGAGGGGACCAGCAGGCACTGGGGGAGTCCCTGTTCCCCCCTGCCTCGAGTACTACCAGGAGTGACTAGAAATAACGGTGACAAACTGGCAGAGGGTAAATTCAGATTACACATCAGGAGGAGCTACTTCACTGTCAGGGTGGCTAGGATCTGGAACCAACTTCCAAGTGAAGTAGTACTGTCTCCTGCTCTGGGGGTCTTTAAGACAAGGCTTAACAATCCCCTTGCTGAGGTCGTCTGACCCCAGTACTCTTTCCTGCCATGGCAGGGGGTCGGATTTGATGATCTGCTCAGGTCCCTTCTGACCCTACCAACTATGAAACTATGATTAACGTGTTAATCTGAGCATAAATAAATAATAGCCTTGCCATACATTCAGCCAATTAACAGTGCAATAAAATGGGAAACTAGCAGCAAACCTGTTCCAAACACAAGCTATCTTTAAGGTGTTGAAAACCAGCCCCAAAATGAATGTGACACCTGGGGCTGCTTCATGCCAGATCACACTGCTCATGCTGACAATCAGCTGATTGTTGGCATTGGGAGGGGGGCAGCTCCAGCCCAGATAGCGACTCCAGGCTACCCTAGTCCACAAGCTGATGATCTGCCCCAGCTAAAACCATTTTTGTTCCCTTTTCAAGGGGACAAGTGCTGATCTTTGGTCTTATAAATGCACCTGATTTGCTTTCAAGTATATTTCACTATTATTTATGTTGCAAAATATATATATTTTTAATTTGCAGTTTCAGACTGTTGGACTAAACAGATAAGAGATTTCTTTTACAGAAAAGAATTGTTGTAATCTGGGTGAATTGTTGTGATCTGGACTGAAACTATTCTAGTCTGAAGAAGAGATATGCATCCCTGGCAACAGAGAGGAAGGAGCACATTCTTTTGGAGGAGGAGGACAGGCCAGACCTCACCAAGGTGGAAAGAATCAAGACAACCACCACCAAGAAGAAACCAAGGATGCACTGGGTCCTGCCTGGGTGGTGGTGGTTGCAGACTCCTTTCTGTGGGGCACAAAAGGAGCCATCTGCCAACCTGACCTGTTGCCCCAGAAAGTCTGCTGCTTGCCCAAAGCCTGGATCCGAGTTGTCATGGAGGGATTACTCACTCATGCTGCCTTCTGACTACTACTCCGTGCTGCTCATCCATGTGGGCACCAAAAATACTGCCAGGGGAGACCCTGAGTGGATCAAAAGTGACTATGGGGCTCTGGGCACCCGGGTGAAGGGGATGGGGATGGAGGCTCAGGTCGTATTTTCTTTAATCCTTCTGGTCAAGGGAAAGGGCCCAGGCAGGGGCAGGTGCATCCTGCAGATCAATACCTGGCTGCACAGGTGGTGTTACCAGCCGGGATTTGACTTCTTTGACCATGGGATGTTCTTCAAATAAGGATTGCTAGGAAGAGATGGGAACCACCTGAACAAGAGAGGGAAGAACATCTTGACAGACAGCCTTGCTAACCTAGTGAGAAGGGTTTTAAACTAGGTTTGCCACAGGATGGAGACCAAAGCCCTGAGGTAAGTGGGGAAGTAGTTGACCTGAAGGTAGAGCAAGCAGGAAGGGGCAACAGGGGAGGTGCTCTCATACTTCCTGAGAATTCAGGGCAATCAACTAGTTACCTCAGGTGCCTGTACATAGATGCACAGAGCTTGAGAAATGAGCAGGAAGAACTGGAAGTCCTTGCACAGTCACGGCACTATGACATGATTGGAATAACAGAGACTTGATGGGAGCTCGTATAACTGGAGCACTGTCATGGATGGGTACAAACTGTTCAGGAAGGACTGACAAGGAAGAAGATGAGGAGTTGCACTTTATGTAAAAGAGCTATATGATTGCTCAGAGCTCCAGTATGAAGCCAGAGATAGGCCTGTTGAGTGTCTCTGGGTTAGGGTTGGAGGGGTGAGCAACAAGGGTGATGTTGTGGTGGGGTCTGCTATAGGCCACCAGACCAGGAGAATGAGGTGGATGAGGCGTTATAGTGAAATAGTGCTAAGTGAAACAGTGTTAAGCAGGGGTTGCCTGTAGTAAAGCACTGGAACACATTACCCAGAGAGGTGGTGGAATCTCCATCCTTGGAGGTTTTTAAGACCTCACTAGACAAAGGCTTGGCTGGGATGATCTAGTTGGGGATGGTCCTGCTTTGAGCAGGGGGTTGGACTAGATGACCTCCTGAGGTCCCTTCCAACTCTAACTTTCTATGATTCTATGAAACATTCAGTTTCTTATGCATTCTAAATGCAAAATTTTAGATCAAAGTCTCTTCCTTTCTTCCTGAACAGCCTTAAAACAACCAACACTCCCTTTTCTTCTCCCAACTGGTTGAACAAGTTGCTTAAAATGTAAAGAATGCTTTCTGGGGGCTGGTCTCCCTGGCCACTAACCTCTCCTAATTCAACACTCACCTTACAAGCCATATCTACCTTTACACCTACCAAGTACTGAGTAAAAGTCACTTTTCTCAAAAAAAAAAACCAAACAAAACAAAAAAAGTATACACTAGTCAGAGCCCAGCAGGCAAGAACAAAAAGCAATCCTAGAAAGACCTACAGGTCCACCTGCACCTGTATCATTAACTTGTATCAC